GAGCCGAAAAGGAAGAGCAACATCAGATGAGAAGGAAGCAGACTCTATGCAGGTAAATGATAACACCGTATTTTGACCACTTTTATGGATCGTTTTGAATACTTTTTCTATGTTTTTTATTGCTTTCAAGTACTTTTATTACGTTATTCTAGTATTTGTAGTTCCAAAACTCTTTTCAAGAAATTTAGGGAAAAACTTAACAAAATGGATAGAAGACCAGATTTTCAGCTCAGAGTCAAACCGTCAGAAGTTCACCTCCGATTGAAGGTCTTCTCACCGTCCGATCCAGCTCAAATTTGGAGATCTCAAAGATGGAAGTATCAGCTTTCCAACACACTTTACAGCTTGGCAATCCAAAGGTTCAATCAAAAGATACGCGAAGAGCAAGATGTCCCGTAAACCAGCCGACAAGCGTTTCCACCTGCGGCCAACAGCCATTTCACCACGGTCAGAGGCTTCCCGACCGCGGCCAACCATCCATTCTCCGCGGCCATGCACTTTCCAACCGCGGCCAGCCAACTCCGAGTTAGAAGGCCCATTTCTGAAGCCCAAATCATTTTCTCAGCCTCAATTCCGGAACCCTAGACACCAGAGAGCATTGGAGACTATAAATACTTATCATTTAGGTCGTTTTAGAGAAGAGAAGAAGAGAGACGAAATACTTTACAAGAATTTTTACTTTAAGCTTTTGTTTTTAGGTTTTAGGGAGAGAGAGATTTGTCTCTTGAGCCCTTGTTCTTTCTTTTCAATTTTTAATACTATGTTTTTGATTTCGTTCATCATGTCTGAGTAGTTTTATTGTTAGGTCTAATGGATTTTCGATGGGGATACATATGTTCGATGAGGATTTCATGAGCTATTGAAGCCGAATCTTATAACTTTTTATTCTGAATTTACTTTTACTGCATGAGAGTAGCGTCATGAACTACAATGTGATCCAGATGCTTGGTGACACGAAAGTGTTCATCCGGTGTCAGATCTAGTATGGGAGAGCAAAATAAACATAGGAGTGAAAACCTACCTATGGGTGATTTGTGAATGCTGACGAGTCTTAAACATAATGCATCTTTTCTCTTCCAGGGCCAGAGTGGAAACCTACTGGCCAGGGTTGAGAGAGATAGTTGTCTATGATCATGACAGTGGCGTATTCATACGTCCGTGACACTAGTTCAAAAAGTTTAAGCTAAGATCTTATCAAATTTACACTCTAGCAATGTTTTGAATCATTCATACCCTAGAGAAAATTTCCCTGAAACCCAGCGCCTCTTTTTCTATAAATTTACATCGATTTTATTTCAAGTTTTAGTCTAGTATTTTTACTCTTTCAATCGATTTTCATTTAACCAATTAGATTTAGCCGTTTTCTCGTTTTTAGTCGATTTCATTAAGTTTAGTTATTAGGTCATTTTAGTTCCCATATTTTCTCGTTAAGATTAGTTTTTACATTTTAAAGACACCACCAAAACCCTCACAAAAATCGCCTGGTTCTAGACTTCCTTACTTTATATTTCTTTCGAAGGCTTTTGCAGGAAAGATCCTCCTTCCCTGTGGATTCGATCCCTAAGTACTACAATCGATCAGCTGTGCACTTGCGGCTACTGATTTCATTTAGGGTAAAAATTGACACCCTCACCACACGACCACATCAGTAAAGTGCAATCATATTCTTAACATTCTCGTTTAAAATGTCAATTCAATGATTATCAAATCTCTGCTTTACCATTTGTCAATGCTGCTCTTTTGAACATAGACAATATCATGTTCATGATCTGTCTTGATCATATGTTTGGATCATAAGTAAAGATTCTCTGTGTTATGTGGATATCACAGCAGCTACAACGGTGGAGAAGAAAGCGGAGGCAGAAGCAACATTTGAGAAATATATAAAATTGATGGAGGAAAGCAGATATGTACTGGTGAAGCTAGCTCCATCAGGGTTCGTTCTTCTCAGAGACTTGCGTCCGCTTGTGCTTAAGGTTCCGTCACTGACTGATGCACCAACTTCAATAGCATCTCCTGCTGGTGGTGCAGCAGCTACAGGCCAAAGCCAGCAAGCAACTACGCCCTCAGCTATGGCCGTAGATGATGATGAGCCACAACCTCCACAAGCCTTTGAATACGCTTCTCCATGATTTATTTTTTCTTTCTTGAATTAGTGCATAGTTTGTATATTTGTCGAGTAAACAAAGATCAGTATTTTTTTGGGACTTGGAAGGCTAGTAATTCGTATCTGTCTTGGAGTCCTACTTCTCTCTCTCTTGAGATTGATCTTTATCAGAAAATACAAAATGGCTCATGATGAAAATGGTTGTACCGTAGCTTCAGCAGCAGGAGACGAAACTGAGGTTCTGGAATGTTTTTGAAGTACCGGAGACCACCAAAAAACCTGCTCCAAAAGCAGCCCATGAGCTATTTTCTCATGTGAATCTTATTCGTTAAAACTGTGAAGAGTACAACAAGGAAAGCTATTGATTGTTGTTGATTGTTACAGAAGAAAACTATTTTCTAATTTTTTCAGATTCATTCTTTATGAACTGTATTGACAAGTAAAGGATTTAAGGATTCATTCTTTATGTGGGAAATGGAGCCAAGAAAAAGTAAGGATTTAAGGTTTTCTTACGTTTTTCTAGAACATACTTTTATGTCTATAATTTTTTTGATTTTTAGATAACTTCTGATGTGTTGACATTACGCCATAAGATAGAGAAATGAAACAGAGCTAGAGACAATATGCACACTAGGTTAATAATAGAAAAAACAATGCGCATACGCACTTGAATCTCCAAATATATAGGTTGAAAATTATTGAGTTCTGCAGTCTTCTAGGTTCAATAACCCTTGTAAGTATATGTGATTATGGAGACTATTAAAAACAAATTGTTGAATTAGGTAGCGATTATATTTGATTTCAGGTGGGAGAAAACGATGTCATTGAGTTGAGCTTTTCTCTGCGTTCAAATTTGATCTATGTCCCAATAATTTTCTGTGATCAGATTACAGTTTACTGGCGTAATGTCAGCAAACTCGTGCAAAGAAAACGTCAATGGTAGTAAAACCAAAACGTCAATGGTAGTAAAACCAAATTAAAAATAATCATGGAACAAGTTTACCATACGTACGAAACCTGTTTATCACATATACTATAACAACACTTCAAAACAAGTCTACCACACCTCTGACTTTTTCATAGATTGCAGAATACGTTTAGGACAAAAAATAATTTGCATTGTAAAAAGTTGAATGTCTACTATTGTACATAAGTGTACCACAAGCAATGTAAATAACTCCACCATTAATAAAAGACTACCATCAAACTCAATATAAGTCTACCAGATCGAGATTATCTGAGTAAATACCAAAGTGTTAAAGTCTACCACATCAAGCTCAATATAGGTCAACCATAAGTGCAATAACTCTACTAAATTTTTCAAAATCTACCACAAAAACAAACAAATTTACCCAATTTTTTTTTTTTTAATTCTACCGTACCTAACAGTAAATATACCACATTACAAAATGAAATCACCGACATTTGATTTGAATTTAAATCTACCACATTGCTAATAAATCTACCAACCATATATAAATCTACCAACTTCATAATAAATCTACCACAAAAAGATAAATCTACCGTTACGTTAACTTAAATTTTAGTGAATAACTCTACCATCAAAAGGAATAAGTCTACCAATTCGGATAATAAATCTACTCCCATTGTCAACAAATCTACCAACAAAGCCAAACATTTCCAGTAAGTCAACAAATTGGTCAAAAAGTCTACCTACAAATAAATAAGTGTGCCATAAATCACAAAATATCTACAAAAAAAAAACAAATCTACCGTGTCCTTTGACGTAGACTTATCAGATGTTGGTCAACGCAAATTTTTGGATAGTAAATTTAAGGACAGTAAACTTTTAATTTTTTAAGCGACATTTTTTGCCTACGTGGTACAAAAAAATAATGTCATTTTTGTAATTAGATTTTTTCACCAAAGACAAAAATGGTGTTTTGGATATGTTAGATTAGTTTTGTAATAAAAAATAAAAGTGTGTCAAACAAACAATAAATATAATTTAAAAGTATAATAATCCTCCTTTAAAAGTTTTAATTTGGTTTAATTAAGAAATTGGAAATCAGTTAGGAAAACGAAAAATAAACCAATTCTGGTTAGGTTTGGTTTCACATTAACATATACAGAAGCATATAACATTTTAGATATACCTAAAGAAAATGCATTCTCATAAAATATCTTTCGCCAACATAAAAATATTGAGTCATAAGACAATTGTGTTGGGCAGCTGTAATATGGAAGGTGCATGATAAAGCTCAATTTGTTTTTCCTTTCATTTTCTACATATTCAATCCTTTTCAACAAATCTCTAGTTTTTTTGTCAACTTTCAATGTGAGGAATTGCTTTATTATTAACAAGGACAAGAATATTATCTATGACGTAACATAGAATATGGACATCAAAATTAAATTATGATGGGTTTCAAAAACAAAGAATCTCTTTGCATCCTTACGTATCTTGAAGGCATTTTCCACTTTCAAAAATAGATAAATTAAGCTTCGCAGTAAATAAGTATCTCCAGTGAAAAAAATATAATATAAAGTGTTAATACAGAAACTACTGTAGTAATTTATATGTTTGTTGGTAGGAATCTAGGATTCGACACTTATTAAAAGAAAAAGATTGTAGTGTGGACATAATTGCAACACGGTTCAAAAGACATCGGATCGGGACAAAACAATTTCGAGCTATAATAACTTTTTTTTTAAATGTAATTATTGGAAGGACATAAGTATTGTACATAACAGTAGTATAGCATTCACGGTCAGTGTTATAAATACAAAAAAATCATAATTAGCGAATTTGTTTTTTTTTAAGTCACAGATGGTCCCCACACGTGTGATTCGGCACGATACTTCCTAGGCTAAAAGCATACCACTAGGCTTCCCTATATAACTTCACCTCCACCAACGATGCATGTTCGTCCTCAGATCTCATCTCACTCACAGGAGAAGAGATAGAGAGAGACACAGGAAAAGTCTCAGTTTCTATATTATTTACGATATACCCCTAATATGGCGGCTTCTGTAGATAATCGCCAGTACGCACGACTCGAACCAGGTTTAAACGGCGTCGTTCGCTCATTCAAACCACCGGCTCCTCCGTCCCGGTCCGATTCCCCAACCTCAACCCAGAACCAAACCGTGTTGTTTAAACCGGCTATGATACAAGAAGACGACGAAGACGTGTCAAGCGATGACGAGAACGAATCCGGTTACTACAAAGAGATGATACGCAAATCCAACAGCGAGCTTGAGCCGTCGATTCACGATCCGAGAGACGAATACACGGCTGACAGCTGGATCGAGCGAAACCCTTCCATGGTCCGTCTAACAGGGAAACATCCCTTCAACTCCGAAGCTCCGCTCAACCATTTAATGCACCACGGGTTCATCACACCCGTCCCGTTGCACTACGTCCGTAACCATGGTCATGTTCCTAAGGCCCAATGGTCTGAATGGACCGTTGAGGTTACCGGATTTGTTAAACGCCCCATGAAATTCACCATGGACCAGCTCGTTTCCGAGTTCACCTTCCGTGAGTTTGCCGCGACGTTGGTTTGCGCGGGGAACCGCCGAAAGGAGCAGAACATGGTGAAGAAGTCTAAAGGCTTCAACTGGGGCTCTGCCGGAGTTTCCACCTCTGTGTGGCGTGGAGTTCCTCTTTGCGACGTACTACGTCACTGTGGAATCTTTAGCCGGAAAGGCGGTGCGCTCAATGTCTGCTTCGAAGGGTCGGAGGATCTTCCTGGTGGTGCTGGAAGCGGTGGTTCCAAATACGGAACGAGCATCAAGAAAGAGTACGCCATGGATCCGTCAAGAGATATCATTTTGGCTTATATGCAAAACGGAGAGTATCTGACACCAGACCACGGGTTTCCGGTTCGAATCATAATCCCCGGTTTCATCGGTGGTCGGATGGTTAAATGGTTGAAGCGAATCATCGTCACCACTAAAGAATCCGACAATTTCTACCATTTCAAAGATAACAGAGTTCTTCCTTCGGACGTAGATGCCGAACTCGCCGACGAAGAAGGTATAATCAATTTCTATTTGGTTCAACAATATTTGGTTTAAAAATAAAGTTGGTGGATGATGTCAACTTCTTTGACTTTTATAATTTAAATCTAAATTTTTTTTTCTTTTCAGGTTGGTGGTATAAACCGGAGTACATAATCAACGAGCTTAACATAAACTCCGTGATTACGACGCCATGTCACGAGGAGATTCTTCCCATCAATGCTTTCACAACTCAGAGACCTTACACTTTAAAGGGCTACGCATATTCCGGTACTGTTAATATAAAAATTATCATTCTAAATACATTTGTTTACTTATGGGAAGATTAATTAATAAGAACAATGGCTATATATACACAAAAAAAAGGAGGAGGAAAGAAAGTGACACGTGTCGAGGTGACAATGGATGGTGGAGAGACATGGAACGTGTGTACGCTTGACCATCAAGAGAAACCAAACAAGTATGGTAAATTTTGGTGCTGGTGTTTCTGGTCACTTGAAGTTGAGGTTTTGGACTTGCTTGGTGCCAAAGAGATCGCTGTTCGCGCTTGGGATGAGACTCTCAACACTCAGCCTGAAAAAATGATCTGGAATCTTATGGTACGTGTCTCCAAACACACCCCATGGTTTTAAATTTGTTACTGATCGGTTAAAGAATTAACGAAACGACATCGTTGTAAAACAGGGGATGATGAATAACTGTTGGTTCAGAGTGAAGACTAATGTGTGCAAGCCACATAAAGGAGAGATTGGGATCGTGTTCGAGCATCCAACTCTTCCAGGCAACGAATCGGGTGGATGGATGGCTAAGGAACGTCACTTGGAGAAATCCGCTGACGCGCCTTCAACGCTCAAGAAATCTGTCTCGACACCATTCATGAACACAACTGCTAAGATGTACTCAATGTCGGAAGTCAAGAAGCATAATTCTGCTGATTCTTGTTGGATCATCGTTCATGGTCACATCTATGACTGTACCAAGTTCCTTAAGGACCATCCGGGTGGTTCAGATTCGATCTTGATCAATGCTGGGATGGACTGTACGGAGGAGTTTGAGGCGATTCACTCTGATAAAGCCAAGAAGATGCTTGAGGATTATCGTATCGGAGAGCTAATTTCAACCGGCTATTCCTCAGACTCTTCTTCGCCAAACACTTCGGTTCACGGTGGCTCAGCCGTATTCTCGCTCTTGGCTCCGATTGGAGAGTCAACTCCTGTTAGAAACATCGCTTTGGTTAACCCACGGGCTAAAGTCCCAGTTCAACTTGTCGAAAAGACATCAATTTCTCACGATGTTCGTAAATTCCGCTTTGCTTTACCGGTTGAAGATATGGTTCTTGGTTTACCGGTTGGTAAGCATATCTTTCTCTGCGCCACAATTAATGACAAGCTCTGCCTAAGGGCTTACACACCGAGCAGCACTATTGATGTGGTTGGCTACTTCGAGCTCGTGGTCAAGATTTACTTTGGTGGAGTCCATCCGAGATTCCCCAATGGTGGGCTCATGTCTCAGTACCTAGACTCGTTGCCTCTCGAGTCAACTTTGGAGATTAAAGGACCATTGGGTCATGTTGAGTATCTAGGCAATGGTGAATTCACGGTTCATGGTAAATCAAAATTTGCTGAAAAATTAGCAATGGTGGCAGGTGGAACCGGTATAACCCCGATATACCAAATCATGCAAGCCATTTTGAAGGATCCAGAGGATGAGACTCAAATGTATTTGGTTTACGCGAACCGAACCGAAGAAGATATTCTTCTTAGGGAGGAATTGGATGGTTGGGCTGAGAAGTATCCGGACCGGTTAAAGGTTTGGTATGTTGTGGAATCGGCTAAGGAAAGTTGGGCTTATAGTACCGGGTTTATAACTGAGGCGATTCTTCGAGAGCATATCCCTGATGGTTTAGATGGCTCTGCACTTGCGATGGCTTGTGGACCACCACCGATGATTCAGTTTGCGGTCCAGCCGAATTTGGAGAAGATGAAATATAACATCAAAGAGGATTTCTTGATCTTCTAAGCATATTCCAAAATATTTTAAAATTCAAAAAGTTGTGTGGTCAAAAAGCCTAGTATTATAATAGATTCAAAAATAAGTTTAAAATATTTGTTTTGTATATAATGTTGGTTCTTTTAAGTTTTCAATTAGAGAATATAATGTGTCAGTTGTATTTATGTTGGATATTTTTTCAAAATTTGAGAATCAGTTTTAATATTTTAATTCTCTTATATGTTTTCTAAATATATATGTATATATCTAAATTCCTTTACTGAGGAAAATTCCCTTCGCCATTAAATCGAATTTTGTGAATTTTGTGTATAGAAATTCTGTTTCATAGGCAGAGACGAATATTGTCAAGTTGTAAATGATGATTTGTTATACAGTCATACTATGTGAGTTTGAGTTTATGATTTTTTTTTTTTGTTGAGTCTCCCTTGCTAGGTGTTCTTCATTTCTGGTCGATTTGACTACATTGGTCTATTTTAGGCAGATATGGTTTCTTTGAATTTCCTCATCAAGAGCCCCCTATTTGCTTTGCTTGAAATCAAATTTTTATTCGCTAAGCAACATCGACGAGTGAGATAAAGCATGGAGGAAGAACAGAGCCTGTGTTGGAATCTGACTGGATTATGAAATTGGTTGTTTTCTGAAGCAGATCTAGGCTGCACCGCTTGAAGGAGTGAAGCATTAAGAACGTTGAAGAAGATCGAAGCAGTGATTCATCAGCTATATGAATATAACATAGCTCATCAGATATGGTTTCTTTCAATTTCCTCATCAAGAGCCCCCTATTTGCTTTGCTTGACATCAAATTTTTATTCGCTAAGCAACATCGACAGGTGAGCTAAAGCATGGAGGAAGAGCAGAGCCAGTGTTGGAATCTGACTAGATTATGAAATTGGTTGTTTTCTGAATCAGATCTAGGCCACACCACTTGAAGCAATGAAGCGTTAAGAACGATGAAGAAGATTGAAGCAGTGATTCATCAGCTATATGAATATATCATAGCATGTCTATGTAGCATGTATTATAGTATGACTATATGAATAGACTATACTATTTTGCAATTTGCTTGAACTTCTTTTTCTCTGGTATTAAGATTACTTTGCTATTTGTTATTTCCTTGAGATTAATAGATAATATTTTGCTATTTGATTGAAACAATCAAATTCTCTTTTCTTTTGGTATGAAATGTGTATATTTCGTTGGAATCCTTCAATCAGATGCACTTATGTTAAGTGAGCTCTCTTTCATTTTCTGTAGCTTATAGAAACTCATTATTTTTTAGTTGGAGAAGAATGTACTATGTATGGTGTAAATCATATATATATATATATTAATAATTAATTTATTGTATTTATTAATTTATCGATTATTAATTTATAGGGTTTCTACTATATTATACAGTATGATCATCAGTATTCATAATTATTAATTATAATGATAGAACTTTCATAAATAAATCTAAAACACATAAAAAGAATGAGTTTGATCCATTAGATTATTCAATTTGTTCTCTAGCGTAGGTGCCAAAGAAGAATGAGAAGAAGAATAAATTATAGGGAAATAACAAATTACAGATTTTTAGTATTAATTGTAGTAAGGTTTATTTTGTGTAATATATATGTGTTTATGTAGCTTTAATTTCTTGTGTTTCATTTATGTGTTTTGACATATTTTTATCATGTTTAATTATAAAATTTTTAATGTAAATAGTTCTTTTATATTGGTAATTTTAATTTTAATTTTATATATTTATTTAATTTTTATAGATATTTGAAGTTATAAAGATATCTTTAAATTTACAAAATATTTAATTATATGGACTAAATTGAAAAACAAAAACAACAAATAGGTTCACTGATAAGATATACAATTTTAAGAACTAAAAACTAAAGTAAACAGTGTTTTAAGGGTTTGAATAGTGGATCCTCAAATTTGAGGTTTCAGTACTCAAAACATCAAAATTTGGATTGGAACACAAAAAACTTTAATTTGAGAGTTTAGGAGCTGAGTTGAAAATGTTGTAGAACACTTTTGTTAAATCCCCAAGTGTTTTTTTTCCTCCACTTTTAAAAACATCTTAAATATTTTTATCAATCAATTTAAAATATATGGCAAAAAGGATATTACAATTAGTTTTATTCCTAAATAAAGAAAATTTTCACTATGGCATGTATTTATATGTCTACTTTTTTCAACTAATTTTATTTTTCTAATAGCATATAGTTTGTTTTACATTATATTTTATTCGTATATACAAATATATAACGAATATAGAGTTAAAAGTATGTAACATCCCAACCCTGATCTCTTGAGATAACTGGAATTGGGTCTGCTAGGTCAATGGTCTAACCTCATTTGGTTAACCATCTGGTTTGGTCCAATGATGAGCAGCAAGGGTGCCAGGACCGAAAACCCCTGTGTAGTAACAATCATCTTAGATACTAGATCCAGTGCTGACCTGAAAAAGAAAAAGAGGGGTGAATAATTTGGATTACCCAATAAGGTGAACCTTAAGAGATTCATTATCACTTCTACCATAATATAACATAGAGATGAAGAAAAGTTGATTCCTAAAAAAAGCTCAAGAAAGACCCCATCCTAGATTTCTAGACATTCAAGACACAAGAACAATCATCCGGTTAACTAAGTCCAATTTTCCGTCAATAATTTGGATTACCCAATAAGGTGAACCTTAAGAGATTCATTATCACTTCTACCATAATATAACATAGAGATTAAGAAAAGTCGATTCCTAAAAAAAGCTCAAGAAAGACCCCATCCTAGATTTCTAGACATTCAAGACACAAGAACAATCATCCGGTTAACTAAGTCCAATTTTCCGTCAATTCGCCCTCATCATCATATTCAAGGCATGGTAAACTCCTTCATACTCAAGGCATGACAACCGCCTGTCAATTCATCTCATGCTCGAGGCATAGTACTCGTGCATCTTTCAAGTTATTCAATGAACACTTTAATTTCCAAACAAAAGAAAAGCTCTCCAGAGGATGGGATCTTATCCTGCCTTCCTCCTTGGATAGGGGGATAAGTCTGCCATCCTTGATATGCTGAACCTGAAATATCACTGTTGGTCACACAGACAATGAGTGGTTTGCCGCAACCACCTAGCGATGAACGCTGATGGTCCACTAGGCACCATACACCCGCCCAACAAAAAATCTCGAACCACATGTCAGCCTGTGACGAGTACCTAACTCGATCTACACACCAAGGACAATTTAATGACTCGTAAAAAGCAACTTTATATGTTTTAAGACTTCAACCAAGGATCCCAAAATTATCAATCATTTAACTTATTTCTCTTTATCTCTTTTTGAAATGATCTCTAGCAACCTAGCTCATCATCAATCAATAGCCAGCAATCATATCATCATCAACACAATCCAGCATCAACAGCAAGAAAAATAAATCAGACACAGTAAGTATGGTTTAAGAACAGATTAATCTACACCCTTGATCATAAAATGTAGGATTTGGAAAGAAACAACCCTCACCTTGGCCTTTCTGAATGGAGATACCTTTTCACCTTTATTCATCTTCGAGCAGATTTGACATCCAACACGAAAACGACCATAAATCTCGGCTTAGATCTCCGATCTGCACAAAATTGGACTTCACGGAAAGCTGAGACTTGGAGCTTCAATCTAAAAGGTTATCCGTTGCGTGGATCCTCACGGTTCGCCGGATAATTGCCTCGCAAGCTGGCAGCGCGGAATGGGAAGGAAGAGGCGGAAAAAGAGTGAGGAAGAGAGGAGAGAATAGTCTAGGAGAGAGGAGGAGAAGCATAATCACGTCATGGAGGAGGAGAGAAATCCTGCGGAAAAGAGGAGAAGAAGAGAAGTCGCAGGGAGAGAGATGGGAGGTTGGTGTCATGAAAAGGAGTGAGAAAAATAGGAAGAATAGGGTTTTCTGGGATTAGAGGGTTTTTATAGAGTCTCTGGTCTGGTTTAAGATTGAAATTAAATTGAACCGGAAAAAAGAAAATTAAACTAATTCCCCTTGGTTTGGGTTTCACAAATCTTCCCCTGTTGCAAAGGATTCGTCCCCGAATCCCTTGAAATACGAGAGCGGATATGAAATGAACACTCGAGCTAGGAACAATGGTTGCGACAGGGATGGGAAGAGTTGCTAAGGAGACATGATTAAGGATGAGAGGAAGAAGATTTAGCCCAAAATGATCTTAGATGGAATTAGAGAAAAGAACACAAGGTACAAATGGGGGAAGAAATGAAGGAATGAAGTCTATAACAAAGAAAAGAAGAAACAGCTGTCACGAATTGTGGGAAAGGAGGATAAAAGATAATGTAAAATTTTCATAGAAAAGGATGAACAAAAGATGAAAAGCTAATATGAAATTAATGGGGAATAAAAGAAGAAAAAGAAATGATATAAAGGATTTTATACTGAGGACAGGAGGAATGGACTAAATAGGAGAAGATTCATAGCAAAAGAAGGAAGGGAATGACAACTGAGAAAGGAATTATGGCACCAGTATAAGAGATGAGTTGGTACCTCCTTGCAACTTAGGCTAATTAAAAGAAGAAACGGATACCATGGATGATGTGATTCTAGAAAGCAATAAAGAATTGGAGTTGGACCTAGAAGTGATGCGGACATCAACCCATCAAGACGTGATGCGGACATCAACCCATCAAGACGTCTCATGGTGATCTCAACACTTGGAAGAATTAGGTGCAACGGACATGAGAGTCTAGCCAAGGGTAAAGGAGAGACGATCTCCCTTGTTGAACAAGTTAATGGCGAAGGGGAGACGACTGTCATTAATTTGTTCTCTCTAGACTCCTATCCCATCACCAATAAGCCATTAGATCACTCAATCTTAACCGGACCAAACCAAAGAGGAGGCAACCAATCTATTGAAGATACTGTTCAACCCAAAAAGAGCCACGAGCATTGTCCAGGTCAAATGAAGTCCAATAACAAGTGTTCCAGCCCAACTGCCACTTGGATCACATTCTTAGCTCAACCAGAGCACGCCTCGAAGTGGAATCAGTCCAATTGGAGTTCAGATGAAGGAGATATTGAGTTTATAAATCGGGTGACCCTCTACTTACCCGATTTAGACATATGCGCCTTAATTGGAGAATTCCGACTAAACCAGGAGGAATTAAGCTATCAACCGACTTGTTCTGGAATCTTGACCCATCAGAGAATCACAAAGAATTTGATTCAG